AGATTAAAGATCAAGAATTGGAGATTGAGGAATTAGATATTTGCTTGTGGTAAGTCTTATTCCTTATATTTTCAATTCCACATCTTTAGTTAGTTTCTCACAATTAGTGACAAATAGGATCTTAAAAAAAAAGATTTTATTTCCGTTGACCATAATAAAATTCACCCTTAACTTTGACATTTACTAACAAGATAATAAATTCAAACAAATCCCCCTTCTCATTTGTTTGATTGTTAACCCTAATTAAAAAAAAGAAAAAGATTTTTTTTCTTCCATCCTTTTTAGTTGCTTTTAATTCATAGGGTTGCATTTCATATAGTTAGTAGGAATTCACCAAGTGATTTGAGCATCTTGATTTGGCACACACTTAAAAATATTTTTAAGGGCAAAACCCCATAATCAAGATAAGGTGAGGGATTTCATCACCCTTTCCTTAGCCCAAAAATCACTAATTCCTCACTACACCACCCAAGCCTAATAAAACTCATTAGACGTTGGCCCCTAAGGATTCGAGCTCAATAAGGAACAAGAAATCCTTAAGTGAACCGGTTTAAGTTTTCTCAGATTAGTTGGTGTCTAAGGCAAGGTTTAGGGGTTGCGTAAAGCGCTCCGCAAGGAACGAGGTACTTAATTGATCTCTGATCACCCTCTAGTACTATCCTTACCTGGCTAACTACCCGGGTAAAACTTTTATCTTTTCACTTTATGAATTTTTGGTTAGGAGCTAGTCTAGTTGAGTTAGGCTTAACCCTTGAGTTAGAGTGATTGAAAAGTGATTGATTTTGATTTGTTTTAGTTAGGATTTTCCTTTTTCTTCAAAAAAAACTTTTATTTTTCCAAAACAAAAAAAAAGTTATATAAAAAGTAATTGTTTTTGGTGCATGCAAAACGTGGATTAGGGACAATACACATCAACAAATTCATTTTGAACAAATGGCTAATCCACAAGTTTTTCAAAATTTATGTTATCCCAATAGGATTGAAATTTCCAATGAAGTCCGGGAGTTTGTAGAGAGTCCATATCAGTATTCGGTAAATGATCCATTTTTTCCAACCCACAACTCAGGTTGGGCAAGTTACACAAACATTGCATGGAATCAGGGAAACCACTCTGAAACTCAAAACTTCACTCCCTCTTTGACGCAACATTTTCCTAGGGAAAACACAGTTCCTTTCAATTCTCATCCACAATTTCAACAACCCAATCTGTCACATCAAAATCAGTCTCCTCATCATCAAGTTGTAACTCACTCCTATTTGTCACGCACACGAAATAAGAACCAATTTTATATTTTCTCCTACAAAACACCTTCCTCGTGGGATCGATATCTTAAATACTATAACTTGACACGGTTGTGCACTTGCAACCTTTTTGGTACATGTTTATGCTGCATCAATGAACATCAAAAGGTATCTTCTCACAATCTAATTTCCTCTAAGGGGCTGTTTGTTTGCCTAAAAAAAGAGGGAAATCAAAGAAAATAAAACCTATTTCTAAGAAAAATAGGTTTTTGGATTGTTTGGTTGGCTAAAAAAAGAAGGAAATCAAAGAAATGGAGATGAGATGAGATGAGTTGACACCTTATTATAGGATGATGTGAGTGATTTTTTAAGATTTTTTTTTTTGATGTTGTTTGGTTGGCGGAAAAAATAAGGAAATGAATTATAAGAAACATATTTCTTGTAATAGGTTGTTTTTTTTTTGTTTGGTTATTTCTTAAAAATAAGAAAATATATGAGATGAGATGAGTTGTCATTATATTATTGGATGATGTGACCCACACTTAATGAAATTATTTTCTTAGCTTTTTGGGAGGAAAACAAAGAAATGAAATGTTAATGAGATGAGAAGAGATGAGTTGTCACAATCTTATTGGATGATATGAGTGATTTTTGAATATGAGATGAGATGAGTTAAGTGATATTATAGATGAAAATAATATTTTAGTAGATGTGGTGGATGTGATGGATGAGTTTTTGGATGAAAATAATATTTTATTAGATGTGATGAATGAGTTGTTGGATAAAAATAATATTTTATTAGATATTGTGAGTGAGTTTTAGGGATGGAAATGTGTGAAATTGTTCTTTATAAGATTTCTTAGTTTTCATTTCTATTTTTTAGTTTTTTAAGAAATAACCAAACAGGCCCTAAAAAAAATTTCCAACATTGTCTTTTTTTGCGACTGAAATTTGTCATAGAAGATTAAACAGTCATAGATTTCAGTAAATCCTAAGTGGCCCAATCAAAAAGAGCCACGTCATCACCAAAATAGTAAAACCACCAATAGTAGCGTAGCAGTTACGTTAAATTTCTGTGGGCCCAACCGCATCTTGCTAACATTTTCTCCCACGTCAAAAGCAAGCATGCCATCTTTGAATTCCAAATTCAAATTCAAAAAAATAAAATAAAAATAAAATTAATTTACAAAATAATAGTTGCCCCTCCATTACCAAGAAAGAGCACAAATGACACTTTCTCTCCCTCTACATTTCTCTTTTATCGCTTGACAACTTTTTATCTCTTTCAAATTCTTAATCCCAACCTCTGATTCTAACTATGATCAGATCGCGACTCCGATCTAGACGCCTGAAGAATTTACTGACCTCTTGCTATTTGGATGTGCCATTGACGGAATCCGATTGCCACGGAAGAATCAAAATGATAAACTTCATTCACAGCAACCTTGCTTGGCGATGATTTTCAAAAAGAAAAATATTTGCATATTGAATTTTTTTTAAAACATGACATGTTATCTGATATTGATGGTTTAGATTTATTTTCAGAACTGAAAGTTTTAAAAGAAATAAAAAATCCTGAATTAAAAACAGCATTTGAGATACTAAACCTTATAAAAAATTAAATTCTTTTCCCAATGCATGGACAGTTTATAGAATACTACTGACAATACCTGTTAGTATAGCTCCCCGACAGAAAGAAGTTTTTCAAAATTAAAATTAATAAAATCTTATTTATGCTCAACAATGTCTGCAAGAAAGATTAAATAATTTGGCAATTTTATCAATTGAAAAGTATTTATTATCAAAGTTTGAATATAAAATTTTAATTAGTAACTTTGCATCTCAAAAAGCTAGAAAATTAAATTTTATATAAAATCTATTTTTTAAAAACATATTTAATTTTTTAAAATATTAAGGCCCTTAATATTTTTCTCTGTCTTGAGCCTCAAAAATGCTTGAGACGGCCCTGCTTCTCTCTATCGATGGCCTTAAGGCCCCCCTCTGTAATCCTGACATCTCTGGAGGCAACAAAATAATTATTTTTGTTATAGCGAATGAATCACTTTTTATAGCTAAAAGTATCAAATATGATATAAAGATGTATGGTGTTCTTTGTTAAATAACTAAACTTTGTTTAGAAGGAGGAGGAGAAAGATGTAAAGATGAAAAGTTTTAACTAAAAATTTCAATTCTTTTGTGGTCTCATCTTCTACTCTCCTAAAAAAATCTTCAAAAAAGTGAAAAATTGAACAAACGACTTTACTAAAAAGTGAGAGGGATAGAGGAAATGTATTGTCAATAGTTGTGAATAAATTGCTTGAACATGTCTAGCGCATGATCTTTTGAACTTGCTTTAGGTACATAAATAAAAATATTCATGCTCTTCAAGGGAAAGATGAAATATGCCACAAATATAATGAGAACTTTAATTCTCAGTTACTTACAAAGGTAAGTATACAGACCTGTAATCGCTCTTCCTTTCTATCCTTTCTCCGATTTGAAGATTTTGCATGCAAGAGTTGTATTTTTACTTTTTTATTTGTTTCTTCTAGATTCTTAATTTCAAGTTATTTTGTTTTCATGATTTTTTTTTTCTTTATCAGGTAGATTGAAATCTAACACACACACACACACATATTTAGAATGAGTAATTCTTTTATTAGTTAGATTGAATTCTCACAAACACACACACATAGTTATCTTCTAGATTCTTAATTTCACATTATTTAGTCTTCTGATTTTTCTTCTTCTTTTATCAGGTAGATTGAATTCTATCGCACATATAAAGTTAACTTCTCTTTTTAGAATGAGTAATTTCTTAACAAAATTCAAAATTATGATCCAACTTTTTGGGGCAAAGAATGTTTAGAAACCTAATTGCAATTTCCTACATTTAATTAAATATAATAAAATATTTTTGGCTGACTTGGTACTTATTTGATGCAAAGGTATAATTTCTACCTTGCATCATCCAAAACGTAATTGGATTCTTTTGCTCAACATCTTATTAACATGTACGACGATCATCTCACACATGTATGAGTCTAATTCGATTATTTCACTAAATGTGAAGTTAGATCTCTGATTAGTATTGGTTAATGGGATTTGTATGATATAGGATTTTTCTTTGTGACGTAATATTGAATAATTTAAGATGTTGGATTCTGACTAAGTTTGATTTGATTACTTTTCTAAGTTTGATGGTAATATGACAAAGAAAATATTGTTGGTCAATGATTTTTGGTTCCCCTTTATCATTATGATTCCTAACTTTTGACAAACTTTTGTATGCTGCTATCAAGGCATCATGTTTGGCAAGTTTCCAGAACTTGGAGAGGTTTGATCTCACTTTCGGTTGCCTCTACACTCTTGAGGTGTCTCAATCCATACCTTTTTTTTTCATGTATTAGTTTCTTTTCAGGTTGATTAACTAAATCATAAGGTATAACTGGTTAAATTTATGACAAAGCAGAATAGCACCCTCATAGTATAACAAACAAATAGCACCCTCATAGTATAACAAGCAAATATTACCCATATACTTCATATCTAAAGCAGAATATTTTATTTTAGTAACATGTTAAATATTTGCAGGGAATCTTTTAAAAACCGTGCTTTGCACGGGTCTAAATACTAGTTTGTTATGAAAAAGAATAAAAGTTACGAGGTTAACATGTTAAGGGGCCAATTTCGAAGGGGGTTTGATACAGTTCGGCTTTGGTCAGATCCGAGCGAGCCCAACAAAGTAATAACCGGCCCAACCCAATTGCCTCTCCGACGACTAAACGCCATCATTTGACTGTAGCCCTTCCTTTCACCGAAGTTTCGACTTCTCCTCGTCTCCGGCGATGGTTTTTACCCAATATTGGAGTAATTCTCTCTCTCTCTCTCTCTCTCTCTCTCTCCCCCAACACCTAAGTTTCGATTTCCTTTTTAAAGTCTTTACAATTTACTTTCTCGATCTTTGTTTTTCTTTGATCGACTTGAGTCCTTTTTGTGCTTGAAAGGACTCGATTTCATGTTTTTCTGGATTTTAGGATTAGGGGTTTGTCCAATTGCAGTTAGATTCGAATTTTCCCCTTTTTTCCTCTTTTGAGGGAAAGATTCGATCTGTTTAGACCCTAGAATCTCCTGTATCTTCTACAGTTCGACGAGAATGTTTTTTATTTTATTACTACTACTTTTAATTTCTTTGATCCAGAATGTATTTTTGCGCTTGAATGGACTTTGTACAAGGCTTGAATTTCTTAGTTACTATTATTTTCAGGTGTCAAGGTGAAGCCCGGAGAGCCTTGTAGGGTCGACCCGGGGAGGCGCAGACGTATTATGGTCACACAGGTGCGTTCTGCTCTTGATTTGCCCACCGCTGTTCGTTTATTAGGTAATAATGATGATGATAGCATCGCTCGTGTGTCACTAGTTTAGGCCGCATTTGATCCGGAAGAAGATGATGGCCTCGTCTGTATCTCTGTGAGAACCGATGCGTTTGAGGAGGCAGTTCTTGGAACTCTTTCAAGGAATTGTACCCAGATGATGTTTGGCTTTGGTTTATGTTTCGATAAAAGTTTTGAGTTGTCTCACACCTCCAGCAAAGCTACCGTCCATTTTGTCGGTGCTTCCGATGCCCAGCCACAGAGATATCCTTTATAATTTGCTTTCTGCATCAAGAACTTCTGATTTTTATTTTTTTGGGGGGTTAGATATTGTCTTTCCTCGACTTTTCTTTTCCTATTCCACACCCGTCTGGGACATCATCGATGCCGGTGAGGAATTTGATTTTTTTTTCCCTCTTTACACTGCTATGTACTTTTCTTTTCGAGTCTCTCATCGCATTTTGCAGTTAGGTGCTATATGCAATTTGTATTCTGATTTTTAGCTGTATGTTGTTGCGCACTAGTACACTGCTTTCATTAACTTGTTATTTTTGTTTTATCCATTATTGTGACAATTTCAAGTTTTCTTTTGAAATGTGCCATCTATGTTGCATTGGTTCTTCTATCCTACGCTTCACACCTACTCGGATCCTTGAATACATGCATACAAAGTCAGATGTGTAATCAATTAATTGTATACCCTACATTTCGCATCAAATTCTTGAAACTTGTTGGAATAAGGCCAGGTGCGTCTAAGCCCATGTTCAGTTCGAAGTTATGATTTTAAATGATTATTTTCATATTTACTTAAGAACTATGAGGTGATGTGCTTCAATTGTGTCCCCGTACCCTGCCATTTACAAATTTGTCGTGTCCTGTCCCTGCACCCGTACCTGTGTCCATGCAGTTTAGCATGCCATTCTTCAACCTTCATACTTAAGACTATATTGTTCTGCAATTGAATTTTCATTTAGGGGTTTTTGATATAAATAATTCACTTAAATCATTAGCATTTTGATATTAGTCCCTCAAATCTTCATATTTTGATATTGGTCCCTTAAAAACCATTAGTGTGTGGATATGAGTCATGTTGTTAGTTGGTGTTATAATGTTAGGGGAATATTCTGTTAACTCTAACTTTTTTGGGTGGATTGACCATTATAGCCCTCTGATTATAAACCCAAACCCATTATCTATTTAACTCATACTCATCTACAATCCTCAAACCCGTTAATCACAAACCCAAACTCATTCAGACCCCTATCTTCTTCCTTTCATCCCTTCGATTTTAAACAATTATGGGAAGGGGGAGATTTTGCTCAATGAGTGGGGCTAGTTTGGTAAATGTCCACCTAGGATTAGCAACAACCTAACCACAGGTCATGATTTTTAACCATGGTCTTAGCAGAAGGACCAATATCAACAACTAAAGTGTAATTGAGGGGCTAATGTCAAAATATGAAAATTTGAGGGACTAGTATCAAATTCACTATGATTTTAGGGACCAATATCGGGAAAACCCTTTTGTTTAATACAATATTGTTTTGATTAAAGTCATAACCATGACCAGTCCAATTTTCAAGGCAATGTTTTGATGTAAACTTTTATTCAACTGCTCCATGTGAAATGGTTAAGTGTGAAATGTGCTCCATAGAGATACCACAAAGCTTTAGTAGTCAGTCAGTAATTGTGGCCACTTGATTTTTAAATAGCAATGCTTGTTAAACTTTCCTGCTCTTAACACAGACAAATGTCATGTTCTTTATTTAGAAAACATAAATAGTGAATAGTAATAGAGTTATTTCTTTAGAATTTGATTGAAAGCCCTTATTGATGAGAAAACAACATGAACCCGATAACAACTAGATTGGGTTTTCTGGATTGTCAGATCATCTATAGATTATGTTTGAGTAAAGCTTATTCATTCATCACTAAATGCTACTTACATGTTTTTTGTTAGGTATTGTGCAATCTAGGTCAAATAAGGAACCATTATTTGTTTGCAATAGTTCACAGACAAGCCAACACCAAAGCTTATTCATTCATCACTAAATGCTACTTACATGTTTTTTGTTAGGTATTGTGCAATCTAGGTCAAATAAGGAACCATTATTTGTTTGCAATAGTGGGGGAAGGGGTCTTTATTGCTAATCTGGTGGCTACTCAATTCTCGTTTTTCTGGTGTCAATTAAATCCTTGTGCAATATCACTATTCAAATGCACACGCGAACAACGTTGTCAAGTCTTGTGCATAATTCAAGGTTATTAAAGCACTGAATAGTGCTTCTGATCCTATTGGGCTATAGTTTATCCCAAACTAGAAACATGAATATTCACCTTGGCAACCTGCATTTGCACAATTGCTCTTGGCTCAATCTTGGGTTGTAGTGGTTTTAATTTATGGGAAAATTGCCCATTGCGCTAAGTTTATCTTAATCTAGATACTTGAATATTCACCTTGGCAACTTGCTTTTGCAGTCTCAATTCATTGCTTTTGGCTAAGTGTTGTGCCTATTGTTTTAATTTTTGGGAAATTTGCCCGTTGGGCTATAGTTTATCCCAAGCTAATAATTTGAATATTCACTTTGGCAACTTGCTTTTGCACTCTTAATTGTTTTTAGCTCAATTTTTGGCCCTATTTGTTTAATTTATAAGATAATTGTATCTGGCTTCCTAAAAATAGGAATCTGATAAATATAATCTCTGACCTTTGTGGGCAAGCAAAGAGCCCCTTGAATCATATGTTTTCTAAATACCTTTCAACCTTATCTTCAATATCTCTCATATTCTCTCCTCTTCCGCCACCTTCTCATCTGCCTTCACCTCTCCCCTTCCTTCTTCGTTGCCACCTTTTCTCCGCCATCACGGCCGCCTTTCCTCCTCCACCGCCTCATTTCCCTCTCAGCCGCCTCTTCTCCCATTCAAACTCAATTTTTCATCCCCTACTTCGCGGCTACCTCTCCCCCTCCTGCCCACCTCCTTTCATTCTTTTCGGTCATCTATCCTTCTCCGTCATGACCACTTCTCCCTTATCTCTATTTTTTCCCTCTGTTGTCCATCTACCGCTGTGGATTCTCCTCTGCTTTGCTCCTCCTCCTTACTCTGTCAGTCTTTTCTTTCTCCATCTGGTCTCTCGGCTGCAGCTTCACTCCACTTAAAATACCACCCATCATCATTCATGGTCATCTCACTCACCAAAAGGTAACATTTACTGCACAAAGGTAACAATTTGTGAATTTGTAGCGTATTCTGCAGAAAACGTAAAAAGGTTACACGTTAACCATTAAAGGTAACAATAACAGTTTATGAATGAAAAATGATATTTTAATAAGGTTAGTTTCACATAACCCCCTTGAACTATAGGGGGTGTTGCACATAGTCCCTTTGAACTTATGTATCTAACTTAAGCCCTGTGAATTTTAGTGTGTCTCACAAAACCCACCTGAACTTTAACCTTATCTCACGAGACCCCCATTGCACGTAATTTCCAAATAACTAGAATGTCCTTGAGAAAAAAAAAAACAAAACTTTGTCACTTGTCATTTACAGGCATTCAGGCAACATACCACCTATGGATTTATTTTCTCTCAAGAAAATTTAGTTATTTACAAATTACATTTAAGGGCCTCCGGTGAGAAAATTTCAAAGTTTAGGGGCGTTTTATGAGGCACCCCAAAGGTCAGGGGGTTATGCGAGATAAACAAAATTCAGGGGTGTTATGTGCAACACCCTTTATAGTTCAAAGGGGGTTATGTAAAATTAACCCTTTTAATGATGTAGACTGCACCAAATTTAAAAGATAACAAATCTAATTGATAGATGTAACAGTATTACAAACAAATGTGATAGTTTTATTACAATTGTACAGAATAAATGAAAAGATAACAAATCTCTCTCTTTCTCTTTCTTCCTCAACTACTACCTCTTCCCTTCACTGTCTACCTCTTCCCCTCCAGCCGCCTATTAACAGTGTAATGAATAAAAATAAAAAAAGTATGAAGTTTCTCTCTTTATCTTCCTTCCTCGACCATTACCTCCCCCCTCAACTTCTATCTCTCTGCTTTGGGACTTCTTCGTTCGTGCCCCCCTCTCAGTCTACTTTCATATGTCACTCCATCTTTGTTTGTATCATACCAAGGGAGAGAAAAAGGAGGGCTGAATCAATGGATTCATGGGAGTGATGATAGAAAAAAGAGGGCTACTTCACATGGGACAGAGGAGGGTTCTTTGGGAATTCTTTTTTTTTGGGGGTTTTTTTAGGGGGGGTGGGGGGGGGGAAAGGAAGTATCTGCTTGCCGAAAAATGTGAAGGATTTTATTGCTCATATTCCTATTTGTAGGGAAGCGGATGCAATTTTCCCTTAATTTACTGATATTACCAGTATAGTTCATGAGTAGTTTTTGATAATGCGCACAGCTATAGGTGATACGGCATACAATGCTCATACTAACCTAATTTAGTATCTCACCATAAAACATTATATTTCTTGTTTACTATGTTATCTGTCTTCGAGTTCTGTGTTGCTACTTAGGTGAATTTTTTTTGGGGATGGCTATTCTGGTGGTCTCTTTCTTCCTATTGAACGTTATGACTGAGTTAATTTTGTTCCATGTTAGTGTTGCACTATGTTTTTGTTTTGTCATGTGTTCGATTTATTTATAAACCTCTTTGATAGTCAAACCTGTGGACAAGCAAGAACAAGCAGAAATCGGTGCAGGAAAGGCGGATGTGGTCAAAGAGAAGAATGGTGAAACAGTTATAGTTGATGAGAAGATTTTGAGAGAAACTGAGGACGAGGAGGTGCACGTAACCAATATATATTTTACGTATTATCTTGATTTTGTTATTTCTATTTTGCGTATTATCTGGATTTTGTTATTTTATATTTTAATGCGTACAGCTTATGAGAATTTAGTTGATATGAAAATGAAGAATCAATTTTAGCAATGATTCAACTTACTTACATATTGCAACTATAAGATTGGCATGTTATCGAGTCAACTACTATACAATGATGATGAAGAAGATTCTCAGATGGCAAGTTCACGTAACAAACACAAATTCTGTTTATGTTATTTACTTCGTCTTTTCCCAGTATCCTTCTGTAAACATTAATTTGGACTTTAGACATCACACTTGGTAATCTTAAGAAATTGCATGGCTTATTGTTTGATTGCCTTCAAGTGCACAAATGTCATCCTCCACAACCAAAAATTAAAATTTAATTCAAATGTCGAATTAAACTTCAAGCCCTTTACAATCACTGTAAGTGGCCTATGTGACGGTTTAATAGGCTGCATGACTTCCTATTTTTAGCCCGAAAATATACAATTATTTTATTTGCTATCTGGTAAATGACGAAAGTAAGCTTTTATGAATGTAGATGACAATGGACGTGGATGGTGGGATGCAGACGGAGAAGCTGTCGACAGCGAATAAGTAGGATGCAGGAATGTATGGGAAGCGATGGGATCAGCTACATTGGGAGGTCGAATGGCATCAGAATGGAGACTGGATCTTCAAGAGAAATAGCCAAGAAAAGAACTAGCTCAGTAATATTCACCTTGAACTTTCTATTTTGTACTTAGGGGGTGTTTGGTTAAATGAAGGTGACTCGAATTTGTGAAAGTCACTTATTTTTGCAAGTGTGAAAGTGAATCTATGTCAACATGAAAGTAAAATACAATGTTTGTTTGTAAAAATGAATTAATCTTGGAACTAGGAAAATAAAAAGGATGTGGTGATTATTTATTTATTTGTTATTTAAATTCATATATTACATTCTAAACTCTAATAATTATTCTGGTAACAACTAAAGAACGAATTGAAAGCCTCAGGTATATATATCATCAATTAATTGTACTAATTTTTATAGATTCTTTGTATTCTGTATTTTTTACTTATGTATTTTATATTTTTTTTAATAACGTAATGGTTTATCAACAATCACGCTAAAATGTATAGCCATGTTCATAAATTATTTAATTCGTACTACATAAATGACATAACAATGTACACAGCTATTTAAATGCTATAAAAGAAATAATATAATTAGCAGGTAAGAAAATTTTGCGGGGAGGTGGTTGTTTCCACCTAATAACATGGGAAAATAAGTTAAGATAAATAATAAATATACTAATTAATTAGGAGTGGTCCTCACTTTTTTCTCATTTTCACTTGACTTCAGCACTTTTTTAGGGGAATTTAAACATGCATTAGAGCTGATGTGGACTTATTTTAACATTTCACTTTCAAAATTACTTTCAATAAAACAAACCTCAAAAGTCTTAAATTCATTTCACTTTCACACTTTTACAATTCACTTTCATAAAAACAAACACCCCCTTAATGAAAGATTTACTTCAGTAACTGTCTGGGAATTTCAATGAATTTTCTAAGAGGAGCGTATTGTAATTATTGTGCCGATGGTTGGTTCTACCCCCATGTGAGTCACGGTTCCAAAAAGTTCAACAAATGTTCTAACATACTTAGGGGCTATTTGTTTCACCATTTTTATGAAAAAGGAATAGGATTTGGGTCTGACAATGGCAAAATTATAAATAAAATATTCTTTATGAATCCTATTTTTGAGTTTGGTTCCCCAAAAAATTTATAGATTTCAAAATCTATAAAGTTGAAAAAGTATGTTGATTTTATAGAAACCCAAATCCTAATGATTTGGACGGATTTGGGACAGAAAGCTAACACATTTGTACTTTTCTCCCTCTTTTTTTTTAGATTCTATTTCTTCACAAACCCTATATTATTATGAGACCAAATCCAATTCTTATTCCAAACCAAACTAAAGAATAAGAATTGAAGGGTTTCTATAAAGTTGGATTATATTTTTTCATGTTATGAAACAAGCATATAAATGAAAAAAAAGGATTTCATGACAACATAAAATTGTCTTGAAAATTTTTATGGATTAGCTAGGAATCCATAAAAAACACGGGATTCCTAATCATATTCTTGCCCACTATTGAACCAAACACCCCTATTGTCTACAAACAGTAAAATGATAAACGTATGGTGTTTTTAGGAACTATGGTGTTTCCTCTATTTTTATGGTGTTTTGTCAAAATAAAGACACCACGTGCTTGGAAACTATGATTTTTAATGGTAAAAAAACACTCACAAACAATAAATACCACACTTATTTGATAAAAATTTTTGAATTTTTTTAAAATAATATTTCACAAAGTACAATAGTATTCAAGAAAATGTTTTTATGGAAAATAATACTTTTTCAAAAGTATTGCTTTAAAAAAATCGATTTAATTTCCCAAACAATTATATATTTTCTATAAATAGTTTTTTAAAAAATTTCCAAAACATAATATTTGTTTGAAAAAATAGTTTTCCCAAGGAATATTAAATTTTAAGAAAATAACAATTTTATAAAAATTAATATTTTAAAAACTAATATATTTTATAAAGATATTTTTCCAAAAAACAATATATTATGAAACAATAATATTTTATATATTTGAAATAATAAGATTTTTTAAAATAATTTTTCTAAAAAAATATCTTATAAAAACTGAATTATTTTTTTTTGTAAACTTGTGAAATTAATTTTATTTCAAAATTGTCGTTAAATTAAGGAAATTTAAAAAATAGGAACATGATTTAAATTTGCCAATTTAATTAATGTTAGATTTTCTAGTAATTTTGTTTAAATATCAATCTATTATACATAAATTTGCAAACTTGAATTTGGGACATAAATTTGGTAATTTAAAGATTTTTGAAATTTTGGTATTAATTAATTTCAACTTGAGTAATAAATTTAGTATGAAAAAATTAGTAATATGAAAAAAAATTCAAATTAAGCTAGGAATCTTGAAACTAAAAAATTGGACTAAAAAGAGAAAATTTTAGATTATTTAGAAAACCAAAAAATCATTTTAATTTCAAAAATTCTAGGAATTTAAAATTATGAATAAAAACATTTTTTTTCAGAAACACTTAAAATGAAAAATCAAAAAGTTTAAATTAATTCTTATAATCATTAATCTCATAATTACTATTTGTGAGAAAATTTGGAATTAATTTATTTTAAAATTGGTATTAAATTTGGAATGATTTGAAAAATAGGAGCATGACCTAAATTTGCGAATTTAATTAAAGTCGGATTTTTTGATAATTTTATTTAAATATGAAACTTTTATACATAAATTTGGTAACTTGAGCATCATCTAAATTTACCAATTTAACTTAAGTTATGTTTTTTTAATAATTTTCTAAAAATATTAAATTGTTATACAAAAATTTTGTAACTTGAATTTGGTGATGTAGATTTAGTAATATGAATTTTTTTTACAAATTTTAACATTAATTTATCTCAAACTTAATATCAAGCTTGGTATGAAAAACATAATTTGCAAATATATAAAAAAACCCATAAGAGAAATTAACATCAGTAATTCAGATATTAAAAACTTTGGAGTAAAAATATTTTTTTAGAAAGTTGTAAAAATTAAAAACGAAAATGTCAATATAATTTCAGAAATACCAAAGCTAAAAGTTTTTTAATAAAATAAATACTTGAGTAATTTAAAAATAAAAAAGTAAATCATTTAAATTAATTCTTGTAATTTTTATTTTTTAGAATTAATTTATTTTAAAATTGATATAAAATTTAGAATAATTTGATATATGAGCACGATCTAAGTTTACCAATTTAATTAAAGTTAGATTTTTTTTTCAATAATATTATTAAAATATGAAACTATTATACATAAATTTTTAACTTGAATTTGGCGACATAACTTTGGTTTAATTTGAAATTTTGGTATTAGTTACTCTCAAACTTAGTATTAAATTTGGTATGAAAATAAATTTATGCAAATATTTAAAAATATCAAGAAGTCAAACTAATATCAGCTCTGAGGGTAGGGGGCTCACCCCTGGGTATTTGGTTGTGCACTTTGTAGGGTGAAATTTTGATTTCCCGGAAAAGGGAGTTTCGTTTGTATTTATAAAAAAGCTTATTACAAACTAACGAATCAAATGATTACAACAGAAGCAGAGGGAAAGCCCTCTTTGTTTTGTGTGGGGACTTTAGGTGGCTACAGGATGCTTCGCTCGATGCTCGTGTCGAGTCTGCTTCCCTTGGACCGTTCGAATGAGGTTGCTGGAGAGCTTCAGTTCACAGTAGAAGCTCAACTCGAGAGAGTTCGGGTCTGCTTAGTTCGCCGGCGATCGGAGCTCGGAACTAAACAGTGATGCTGCAATGCAAAAGTTATGCAGAGAGCTTGGTCTCAACTCTTTTCTCTAAGTTTGCGACCTCTCCTCCAGTGTGCTGGAAGGGGCTTTTTAAATGAAAGAAGGACAGCTTGACTCCTCCTTGAATTGTGGGATGTGACCACATCTTCTTCAGAGACGTCTAGCTGCTCCTCGATACCATGAATGGTCATTCCAGGGATTGTACTTTATGTCCTGTCACCTACGATGGGAAGACCCATTCTTGTATATGAGGCAACGAAGCTCAGGTTGACTCGACGCCTGTCCAGTCCTTCGCGCTGTGTGCACTGTGGGCGGCCGTTTGACGGTCCTGGGGTACTGTGCTCTCTCTCCCTTCGGGTCGAGAGAGATGGGAAGGTCCATCTCAGCACGTGGGGTAGTGGATACCCAGCTGTACTGACGGTTTTGGGGCTTGCTGGCGGATTCGACTCCGAACTCGGGCAGGCGAGTTGAGCGAAGAGCGAATTTCCGCCATCCTGATCGACCCTGACTCATGCTGGCGAGTCGACCGTTAGGCGAACCTGGACTTGAGTACAGTCGACGTCTACGCGGTTTAGGTCCGTGCCAGAGAACTGGGCGTGCGAGCTCTTCTCGTAGGCAAATTTCCTGTAGACCCATAGAGGTATTTTTTACCGTCTACAAGACCCCCTTCAAAGTTTTCAGACCTAAACTGGCTTGCGTGTGGTCTGGAATACTTTGAATGAAGAAATTGTTGGCGAAGCAAGTGCCTTCGATTTCTCTTAGGATTTTTAGCAAATCCTCAGCTATCAACGGGTTTGATGTGCCTTTACCGATCACCGTTTGAATCGGGCTAGCCATACTATTCCCCTCAGTATGATGAGTTGTCGAACAGTTTCTCTTAGGCTTAATGCTAAGATTTCTGCTCTAACCCTTAGCCGTCTGAGGCGTGGGTTTTAACCGTTTAAGCGAGGTCATTCTATTGGCTTCGTTTATAATTTTACCTTTTGTGGCGAGCGAGTCGTCCAGGCGAAATTAGTCTGTGGGAGCCAAGTTTCGCGCAACTCGCGGGGTCATGCCAAGTATTTGCAGGCGAAACCCTTCCTTTTTGAGGCGGGCCCAGATCTGACGGGAGATGAGCCACGTGTCTGCTGATAGGGCTTTGTGCTTTCCAGCTAAGGCGGCGCGGTCTCATCGGGTCGTGGCGATCGTGACTCGACAACACGATTTTCGCGTGTTTCGCCCCGCGACGCATCGTGGCCGTGGTTTTCGAACTCAACCGTCGGATGCAACCGCCAACCTCGGTTCCTTCGATATACCGAGGGTGATCTGAGCCGTCGAATTTGATCGTGGCCACGTCTCCTGTCCGTTAGGGTTTTCGCCTTTCGAGGGCAATCGTGGCCACGTGGATAACTCCGCCCTTCT